GGGGGATGGGGCCCCAGCCCCGTTTCCTTTTTCTTAGGGCACTCTCTTGTCCAGTGACCTGTCTCCTTGCAGTAAGCACATTGGTCTTTACACGGTTGGTCGCGGGCCGATAGGTCAGCACTGCTCTTGCTCTTGGTCTCTGCTCCAGTTCCCTGAACTTTGCCTCCTTTCCTTCCTTGCACTGCTGCTACCAACACCCTTGTCATTTCTCTGGTGGCCTTTACTTGCCTGTCCTCAGGAGCATCCCTATTATTATGGACTCTCTGTGCTGTTGCTAAGAGATCCTGAACATCTTACCCTCTAAATTCTCTAGCTTTTGTAGTTTCCTTTTAATATCTGGAGCTGCCTAATTAACAAAAGCCATTACTACTGCTGCCTGATTCTCCGGAGCCTCTGGATCCATTGGGGTAAATTGTCTAAAGGCTTCCATTAACCTTTCTAGGTAGCTAGCAGGCGACTCCTGTTTCCTTTGTATTACTGTCTAAACTTTAGCCAAATTAGTTGGTTTTCAGGCCGCAGCCTGGAGACCCGCCATTAGAGTCTGGCGATAGACCCGGAGCCTCCCCCTACCTTTTGCCTTGTTGTGGTCCCACTTGGCTGCGGGCGGCCTACTCAAGGGAAAAGCAGCATTAATCAAGTCAGGGTTGGCGTCATCTCCAGGGACCAGTTTCCTGGCCTCTGTCTGAAGTCTGGATTCTTTCCCTTTCTTCCGTGGTGAAGAGGATGCCGAGCAGTTGTTGGCAATCATCCCAGGTAGGCTGGTGAGTAAACAGAACACTATCCAGGAGAGAAACTAAACTCTTTGGGTTGTCAGAGTAAGAGGGGTTTTGATTCTTCCAATTGTGTAAATCACTAGTGGAGAAGGGCCAATACTGAAGTCTAGGGTTCCCTGTCTCGTCAGGGGTCCCTGTCTCCCTGAGGGGTAAGACCAGGGTGGTGTGAGGAGACTGGGCAGGGGACAGGGTGAGTTGGGCTCACCCTCGGTTTTCCCCTGCTGGTCCTTCCAGTGCTCCTTCTGCTCTTCCTGCTCCTCCCCCTGCACCCCTCCTCATCCGGCTGGTTGGTGGGGGGCACACAGGGAGGGGGCACGGATTCTGAGGGGCAGGTGATCGCCCCCTTGGAGGACTGGATGGGGGGGAGGGGGTGGGGGTGTGACAGTCGGGTAGGTTCCAGGGTTCGTGGCCCAGAATCGACCTCTTTTGCCAGAAAAATGTCGGCCTCATGTGCTACATGTAAAAAAGGAGTTAGCCAATTAGGGGGGTGGGGGTCCTTGAGTAAGTCCAGCCACACTAAGATATAAGGGATCTGATCTGGATGTCCCTCTCTTCTCAGGCAAAAAATCACATTCTTTACTCGGAGGACTTTTGTCAAAGGTCCCCTCTCCCATGGCTACCCTACACCAAAGGTGGGCTACTCAGCGGAACAGAAAGTAACTAGTTTTCTTTTCTTTATCTCTACTCCCAAATTATGTCCTCTTTCCCTAATGTCTGTAAAATGGTCAGTCAGTACAGTCAAAGGAGTAGTCTGAGTTTGTCCCATGTCTCGGTGAAAAGAGAAAACAGCCACAACTATTCCACAAATCAAGGTTGTAACATAAAGAGACAGCAAATGCCTTGCGTAAACCATGAGCACCCTGAGGCCATTTCAAAGAGGATTTCAGAAGGCAGAGTAGGTCTTCCGCCACAGGACTCCCTGGTGGCTTATGACCTGTAAGAATTCTGAGGGGGATTAGTTCCCTTGCCAGGGTGTGGGGGTGGAGGCAGACAGGACTATAAAAACAAACACAGATAGCACAGAATATGCAGTGCAGCCTGGATGGCTAAACTGAAACTAAATGCGGAGATGGACGGAGGATCCCTCCACTACAAAATACAGATGCCTTTAGTAAAGGGCAATCCACTCAGAGCCCAGAAGGGGCTGGGGATGTCTCCCACAAACTCCCCTCGGTGGCCCTATAGTGTGTCCACCAGGACCTTTTGCCAACCAGAAAATACAGAACCAGAACTTGCTGGCAACCAAAGTACAGAAAATTACAGATCGGCAATGCCTTAACTTACCAACTGGGTTTTCATCACCTCTTGATCGAGGTGTCTGGGTAGGCTTATAAGGGAGCCCCCAATGATATGCTCGAGTTCGGGACCCCCAAAAGACCACCAGAGACCAAGATCGATGTAAGCAGCAAAGAGGCGTTTATTGCGAGCGAGCTCAGTCCTCTCCACACACAGCAACTGGTGACACTGAGAGCCCTCAGCCCGGAGTTTGCAACAGTTTTTATACACTCTTGGGGAAGGCAGGGACTTTACATACATCATAGCATCTCTTAGCAAATCATCACACACCACGGGAAAAATCAAACAACTCCTCTAAAACATGATTAGCTTATCAAGTGGCGGGAAAGAATCTGGAAAGGATTGTTAGTTCAAGGGGTTGACGCACTTAAAAATGATTGGTTTAAACCGTGAGGGTGACGCAAGGGGGCACAAAGGACAGTCTGGTGGTTTAATAGTTATGTTGGCATTTGTATATTGCTGCTTTAGCTGTTTAAACACACAGGGCGCACGCTGTGCCAAGAAGGGAAAGTTGATCCTACAGAACATGACAGCAGCTCCTCATTGCTGATGCCAAGACCAGGGCAAAGGACAGGTAGCTGATTATCAAAGAGAAGGAAATGGGTAGGTAGCACTCCCCATCACCTGGTTGCTAACAACCTCCAGGGGAGGGGAAAGATCACATTTTCCAACCCATGAAGTCAACCCCTAGATGGCTCTCTTCCTGCCCTTTTGGTCAAATAGGCAAGATAAGAAGAAGAAGGGACTCAAGAAAGGAAATCTAAAATCTATAAAAAGGCCAACACACCCCACTCCCTCAGGAATCTCTGTTCTATCCTTTAAATAAAACCTATTGCCTTGGCATTTCTCAAGTGTTCAATCTATAACACTGGGGGAACGAGCCCCACTCTAATATTCAAGACTGGTTTCAATTCTAACTCTTTTAGGTATAGGGACATGGGTGTGGTGGAGGTGGGGGGTACATGAAACCTGGAACCCCAATGGGTTCTGGAAGACATAAGATGACACAACTGAGCTCCATACCCTTAGTCACCAGGGAAGGGCTCAACAGGCTCAGGGGGTAGAAGTTTTACCTATAATGAAGAACAATGACTCAACTAATGTTTGAACCCATCTTTCTTTCTAGAACCCATTTTTCTCTTTAGGGGAAAAGAAGACTGATTTTGTTTTTTTCCATACTGCATTTTTTCTTTTTCTTTTTGGTAGTACTGGGAATGAACCCTGGGGCATTCTACCCCTGAGTTACACTCCCCAGCCCTTTATGTTTTGAAACAGTCTCACTAAATTACCCAGGCTAGCTTTGAACCTGTGATCCTCCTACTTCAACCCCAACTCCCCAACCCCCCACCCCACAGGTTGCTGGGATTACAGGTATATGCTACACCTGACTTCAGCCAGCCTTTCAGAGGAGCACACCAAGCAGTTCACATACCTTCACATTCCAGAAAACTTCCTTGGAGTGAAAACCCGGTCAATATAGGAATCAGGATTCAAGGAACCCAAAGTAGAATTAACAGCACTGGGGCACATGGTAAGAATCTTCACACCCCATTTTCTGCTACCTTGTTGTGACTATATGGATTTTCAAATTGGTGAAAGTACCATGGCATAGTTGAGATTCAAAGTGCAGCTGTTGAGCAGGTAGAGTAGTATATGCTGCTACCTCAATCATCCATAAAAGTAAAGTTCATATCTTGGATGGGTGTGTCAGTATCTTACTTTTCTCTGATATTTATCATGTGCATGAGTCACTTATACCCTAAAAATGATCTTCATGCATTTCTGTTGCTCTTAATGTCTCAATAAAATCATGTTAAATGGTGATCCCAAACCACTCTCCCATAGATCGCTTTGGAAACGTTATTAAGATACCAGAAAGGATGTTTTTAAAGTCATGCTTATTTTAGTACGAATTTATATTCTGTAAAATTCATCCTGTTAAGTGTGATATTTGACAAACACATAATCATGCAATCACCAAGATGATCAAGATGTAGAACAAGATGTAAAAATCACTTCGAAAATCCCCTCCTAGCCCTTTGCAATCAACCCCTTCCTGTTCTTGGAATCAATTGATCCATTTTCTGTCAAGAGGGTCAGATCTAATCACCAAAATGATCGGCTGTGAAAAAAGATGGAAGCATACAAAACACACAAAGCCAAGTTTTTGAAAGTATTTTAAACTTTTCTTTAGTCAACCAACAATGAGGACAGTTTCAAATTTTGCTATGATGTACAGATATTTTGCTCAGGTAAGAGGTAAATCTTAGAATTTAATTCTAGTCCTACCATATTTACGCCTCTACTAATTGAGTATACCATAAAAGCACATGATTGTCTGGAATAGTAAGAATAATTTTATAATGACTTTTGTAAATTAAAGCAGTCAACAATTTCTTAAGATACTTTTAAAAATAGTTATTTAATTTAGAATTATTCTAACTGATCTTTTTTTCTTTTTGGTACCATGAGTTGAATCCAGGGGTACTTAACCACTGAGCCACAACCCCAGCCCTTTTTAAATATTTATTTAGAGACAGGGCTTCACTAAGTTGCTGAGGCTGGCTTTGAACTTGTGATTCTCCTGCCTCAGCTTCCTGAGCTACTGGCATTACAGGTGTGTACCACCCCTCCTGGCTCTGATCTTAATGAACCAGCCTTGGTCATCTTTGTAGAGTCTATGAACCAACAATAAAGACAATCTTTAATGTTAATTCTGTGTCAAGTTTCAAACTAGCCTTGCTAACAGAAAATCTAAATGTGGAACTAAATTCTACAGAAATGACTCTAAGAGTCCAATTCAGCTACAGGGCAGAGGTACAATTCCCAGATATGCTCATATATGTAATTAGGACTGTCTCAAAATTCACCTCTGTGACCACCAAGAAAGGGACAAAGACATCAAAACCTCTATTCCATACAGCCATATACCTTATTACTTGAACAGCTTTACTGATTCTTTCATGCATCAGACCTGTAAAAGAAATACAGTAGATTATTAGGTCAGCAATTACTAATCAATAAAATAATATAGTAGTATCTAAACTATGTTCTTTTGTGTGTGTGGTGCTTGGGATCGAACCCATGGCCTTGCAAAGCAAGCACTCTACCATCTGAGCTAAATCCCCAGAGCCCTCAGACTATGTTTACAAAAACTGCAGAAATAAGAAACAGAATCCCCAATGTACCCATTGTTGACACAAACATTTTAGTGTACACACATGCAAAAACAAAACAAAACAAAACAAAAAACCCACAAAATTTTTAACTCAAAAAATTTTAACTCTCTTGGCTTGATGAAGCATTAATCCATTTACTAGAGGCTTTCGCCCTCTTCTGTGTAAAGCAGAATTTTAAAAGGAATGGTGTGACTGCATTTACTAAATTCCTGTATACCAAGTTGGCCTCAGGTAAATCCTTTAACCCATCAGAGCAGAACATATCCAATCAGGTTAGAGTTCTCATCCTTGGCCAAGAATTCTATTCCACTATGAACTCAAGCCAAATTGTTTCCATTTGGTCCATACCTTTTGTTCTTCAGGATCTTGATCACCACTGAGCCTGGCAAAAAAGTAACAACAAGGTTAATGTTAAGAATATCCGACTGAGTATGATGGCACATACCTGTAATCCCAGTGGTTTGGGCGGCTGAGGCAGGAGGTTCACGAGTTCAAAGCCAGCCTCAGCAAAAGTGAGAAACACTAAGCAAGTCAGTGAGATCCTGTCTCTAAATAAAATACAAAATAGGGCTGGGGAGGTGGCTCAGTGGTCAATGCCACTGAGTTCAATCCCCGGAGAAATAATAATAATAATAATAATGATAATCCAGCTTTGTTGTTTAAAGAGTGGCCTGTATTGTGGCTATCTACTAGCTGTCTTTGATGAATAGATAAAATACAAAGCTATGGTCTCCAAATTCCTGACAATTCCAAAGATTTTAAGTTCCTTATACTCTGGGAATCAATTTTACTTTAGCAGTTGCCATCTTTCCAACTTTATCTCTTTGTTACATTAGCATGCAATAGTATCAAGTTTGGAAAAGAAACATTACTTGGATACAGTATTCTCCTAAAAAACTGAAATAAACTTTTCACAGATTTAAAATTAAAAGAAGCATGAAACTTTTTTACCCTGAGGCTGAGAGCCTAGGGTTGAGAAGTTTCTAGTCCTGGGCACTTGCTCAGTTTCCAAATCCTTAAATAGACACTGGCTCAGGGCTGCTTCCTTGACATGCCAGGCTCTCAGCCTGCATCAAACTGAATGTTAACCTAGTTTGGTTCAACAGGAATCCTCAACACCTAAATCAATGGTAAAACAAAAAATACCCATTGGAGGTTCTTGTGTCACTGGGCTATTTGACAATCTGTTCGTTGCTTGGGTCTAGATTTGTGGCTGAACAAAAGGTGCCTAGAACACAGGTTACATCACTGCCCTTCTTTCCTCTTTCAAACCAGTAAAATTGATGTCCCATTCAGCTTCCTCGTATTGAAAGGGTAGTAAGAGTCTATCAGAGCTGAGGAACACATGTCAAACACAAGACTTATAAGACTAAAAAAAAAGTCTTATAAGACTACTGCCATAATGTGCTATCTTGCCACATACCCCAAACAAACAGAGCCAGTCTATCAAGAACTAGAACCTACATAACTGAGCCAAAATAATTCCACTCTCTTTATAAATTAGTTGGTGTGTGTGTAATACTAATGAAAAGCTGACTAAAATAAAAAGCGATTATTCTAATTTTGCACCAGGCATACATGAGAGTGTCAGTTACCCTATATATATATATTTTCATTACTTAGTGTTGTCAGTAGATTATTTTTAGCAGTATACACAAGTAGTTTCTCATTATTCAAAATATTCTCTGGAAAAGTTTACAAAATGCTGTTGATATTCCTTGAATTGCACTCATTAAATAAACACAATTAATTGAATATTAATACCTCAATAAAGATGTCATATGCATTGAAAAACAAAAACAAAAGACTACTAAGTGGTTCCTATTACAGACACAATGAGTCTTTCATTCACTTGTCTAAATTTAGATCTTTATAGTTTTTGACAAATTCAGAAAATATCCTTTTGTACAGCAGTTTAGCGCCCTAGAGTGCATTACATTTAGAATTGTCAGGATGCTTAAAAAAAAAAAAACCAAACACACAAGCCCCAAGGCTTGGAAATTCTTCCTTCAGACAAACTTTCTCAAGGGCAGCTTTGTATGCTTCTTACATCTTGGGGACAGAAGTTAGGTGTCTAACCCCTTGTCCAAGCACATCCCCTCTCCACCCTCCACCCTGCATAGGACCAAGCAAGACAGGCCTGGCCCCCAGCACATTTTGCAAGGGACCCTGTGCAGCACACCAGCCTCTCCAGGTGGATCTGGGGGAGAAAATTGTGGGATCCCTCAGGAAACCTCCCAGCTCTCTGCTTGACTCACTGCAGTCATCGGCTACCGGAAGATTCACTCAAACCTTTTTAAAAATACAAACAACTCCGCAAAGTGGCAACTGGAAAGCATTTGTGGCGGGAAAGTGGCAATGTGGGCGAAATTACCTCCGCTTGTTGCTAGCACTGGAATTATACTGTTCTGCTCGGAAACTTAAAGCGCTTCAGACCTCAGATCTCATCGATTTCCTAAGTAGGCTATGTCGCGGTCCCCAACAACCGGGCAGGCGGGAGCCCCAGGGGCGCTTAAAACCCGGAGGGGGTCCCTGGATCTGCGCCTCGGTCTTGGTTAAGTCCAATTGTTGGACTTCTGCACCTACAGGGGCCCCGCCCTTGGCGCCGAGCTGAGGCCGAACCCCTGTCCCGGGCTCGGGAAAGGGCCACCCGCCGGCGAGACCCTCAGCCACGTGGCGGGCTCCCACGCTTGGCGGGTCGGTACGCACTTACCGAGCAGCGTGCTGCGACCGAAAAGAGAGGGCGCCTGGGAGATCAATTTTAAAAGGGCCCTGGGCCGATCGCATCCGCGCAGCAGCCAACCAAAAAGTTGCCAAAGCGCCCCTCCCGCCCCGGGACCCCGCCTGGCCAGCGGGGCCCTAGGCCCTCGCGCGCCCCCTGCCGGCCTGCGGGGAGCGGAAACCCAAGTGGCCGGGAAGCCGCCCGGCCCTGTCCAGGTCTCCCGGGTCCGGTCTCCTGGTCTCTCCGCCACGGACCCCTGAGTCTGCAGAGTCTGCGAGTTCGGGGACATTTGCCCCAGACACTTCACTGGCTGGGACGTCCCCTTACCTGGTTGAAAGTTAGAGGAAGCTCTGGCACTCAATGTTGGTATCTCTGCCTGCTCCTCCCCTCGTTCTTCTTAAAGTCTTCAGCCACACCCATTTGGGCTTAAGACTCTTGCCTAATCCTGTAACAGAAGTTTGGCTTCCGTTAGAGGAACTATGAAATCAGGTGGGGGTGGGGTCTCTCTAGGCGAGGAGTGGGGCAGTTGAAGACTCCAAGTGCCTAGAAAACTCACAAACGGCTTATAATGATGACCAAGGTCTAACTATCTTGCCCCCACAGCACCTCTGGCTGTCCGGATTGGAGGAGCAGCGGTGTGTTTTGAATGCAGAAAATTAAACAGTTCCATTGTCTGGCTGCCTAGGTAACAGAATATGAGCGTCGTGGACTGAATTTTGTGCCTCCTCTCCAAAAAATATGTTGGAGTCCTAACCTCCAGCACCCGTGAGTTTGGAAATGTGAATGTGATCTTATTTGGAAATGTCTTTGCAGATGCAATCAAGTCAAGATGAGGTCATTGGGGTGGACTCTTCTAATGCAACAGGGCTGGGTCCTTATAACAAGAGAAAAATGCACGTGAAGACAAACATACAGGGGAATATGTGAGGACAGAGGCAAAGATCTGAGTGATGCTGCAGCAGACCAAGGAATGCCTCAGTATTGTCAGCCACCACTGGAAACTGGGAAGAGACAAGGAAGGATTCTCCCCAACAGATTTCAGAGGGAGCCTGGTCTGGGCTGACACCTTGATTTTGGACTTAGAGCCACCCAAATGAAGGTAACATATTTCTGTGCTTCCAAGTCACCAGGTACTTTTTTAAGACAGCCTAGGAAAATAACACAATGACTGGGAGTGGGAGGTGTGGGGTAGTAAGAAAGGAGCCAGCTGTGTCTTCCAGGAGTTAAGATTGACATCTCCTATAAGCCCTGTTCAGAGGAGCTTGTTTCCCATGTTTACCATGGAAGGCACTTGCTGGCACTTAATAAGCTCTCCATAGATAACTGCTAAATTAGTGATTGTCTTCATGCCTTGCAGTGCAGCAGGCAGTGGGAATATAAAGGTGAACACTTACTCATGCTTTCCCTGTATGTAGGGACTCTTTCTCTGGACATTTGTAAACCTGAGAGAGATGAATCTGCACAATCAAAGCTTCATGCCCATGTCACCCAAAGGGCTTACCTTTTATGCCAAAGTAGAAATTCACTGGAAGGAAAGCCAAGTGGAGAGGTTAGGAGTGGGAGGCAGGAGGTCTATGATAGCAGTCCTAGAAACCAAGTGTCCATCTCCTTCTTCAGGGTGGTCTGCAAGCCACCAAGGCACCACTGGACAGCATCCCTAGCACCAACTACTCTTACATGTTCTTTTACCCTTACTCTGTCCCTGGAATTTTGAGATTTGAGGTTTTCTAAGGACTGCAGCACTTGAGATCATTTTGGGCAGAAGGATTGCCCAGGGCAATGAATATTTGAATGCCTTTTGTGTGCCAGGTACTGTGATTGGTGTTGGTACTGTAAAGTTTGGTGAGAAACTGCCCCTGCCCTGAAGTGAGGATTTACATGTTAGTAGAAGCTTGAGCACTGTCCTGAGGGAACAGGATCAGCCACTGAGCCCAGCCTGCAAAGGATGGGAGGAGGCTTCCTGAAAGAGAGGGTTCCTAAGCTGAGTCTAGCATTTCATGCAGAAAGCTAGGAGTATATCACACTTAGGAGAACAAAGAATCAAAGCAGCCAAAAGTTAAAGAAAAATTTAGAATAGTAGAATAGAAAGGACTTTAATTATCCAGGATTTTCTCTGATGAAGTAGACTTAACCTTAGGGTGTTCTCCAAAAGCAGAGTTATCATGAGTGTATGTATAAAGTGAGCTCCATGAGAACTCTATTTCCTTCTCTACTGAATCCCAAGAAGATAGAGTAGTGTCTAGAATATATTTGAATAAAGGAGATAACTCCAGGGGAAAAATTGCATTTATTCCCCAAATTAGTTAAATATTCATACCTAAGATTCTTTAGTGTTCAAAATGAGACTTACCCCAGCTGTAGCTTCCTGGGGTCACCTAGAGTATGAATTTATCTCCATATTCCCAGAACTTGGCCTGGATCTTGGTGCATGGTAAAGGGTCAGTAAAAGTTTTATTTTACTTTTTTTTTTTTTCTCATTTTGGGGACCAAACCTAGGGTTTTGTGCATGTCAGGCAAGTGCTATACCACTGCATCCTACCTCCAACTTTTGAATTTCTTTACTTGGTGCAGGTTTGGCCTGCCTTTCACACATGGGATGATCTACTGAGGGTAGGCATTCCAGGCTGTTGGGTGGGGTTTGGCACTTCTCTGGCTAGCTTTGCTGCTAGTGCAGGGGAAGCTCTTTTCCTCCAGCCTAGATTTGTCTATGGAGGAACTTCTGCCAGATAATGTCCTGGCCTCTTGCACATCCTTTCCTCCTTTTCCAGAGGAGGAAAGAATTTCAATAAAATTCTGTGTTAATATGAATGTCAACAACATGCAAACTGAGGCACTCCTGTTGGCCTCTATCCCCTGCCCACCCTGTTCTTAATGGAAACTGCTAAGATTCCACTCTGATGGGGGGTGGGGGGGAGAAACAGGAGGTATTAGAGAGAAACAGAAGCCATTAGGAGCTACCTGTTTCAGTGTGCAGCCAACTGGGCACATTAATAAATGTCATCACCTTAAACTTTTGTGCTTTTTAGATAGTCCAAACTGAATGAAAATTAGTTTTCTTGTTAACTTTGCAATAACATAATCTTGCATTTTTAGTCAATTTAAAATTTTGGCCCTTGCTCATCTTATGGCAGGTGACCTAAACTGGCTCATCTTTCTCAAAGAAGAGCAAATCTATCCAAAAGCTGTGAGGATTCCCCCCACTTTTCCCTCACTTCTCAGGGCCAGTGTGAGGCAGGGGATATCCCAGGTCCACACTGGGATGGGAAATGGGACTAGCTCAGTTCTGAAGACACAATCTGAACAGCAATAAAGGTGACACTTCAGTTTCCGTTCTGTTTTATGTCTGAGTTGGTACTGAATGTTGGAGGAGAGGAAAATATTATTCTTCATTCTCCTCAAATCCTACAGTCACTTGATCCTTATCTCCATGAGGATCTGAGACTTACATATTCTCAATGGACTAACATAGATTAGGGAATTTGCTTTCATGAATTAGTGAGCTCAGCCATCTCTTCTTGTGTCTATGTTTAGTGCATATTTTAGTATGTAGTTGCAGTGTAGGGTCAGAATATAAAGCAACTGGAGACATCATTTATGGTGTAAGGGGTCCCTCCAGTTGGAGGTTAGCATTTTAATTGGAATCACTGGGCTAGTTGCCATGTGCAGGTCTCTCTGCCCAAAAGTTTGCATGTTCCAAGCAGCTGTAGGCTTGTTTTCAAGACAAGAAAGAATGTCTGCCCTCACTGAAGCATATTGCTTCATCTGCCTAAGTAAGCCCGTGTGGCTCATCTCAGCAGTTAGAGGATATACAGGTGAGTACCCTGGAAGCCCTGGAAGATGAATACTCTTGTTTCTGATCCCCACATGGGTACCAAATAGTGTTTTGTTTTTTAAATCCCCTCAAGTTTATTATTTACAAACTTATTTTCGCAATACTCCTAGGAAATGCATGAATAAAGTATAAAAAAGAACGAAGTTATGTATTTAATATATCAAATATATGACCTTTATTGATGAAGATGATCTGGTTTGTTGTTTTAGTCAGATTTTTCACTTCTGTGACTAAAATATCCAACCAGAACAATTGTAAAAGAGAAAAGTTATTTGAGGGCACATAGTTTCAGAGGTCTCAATCATAGACAGCAGACTCGATTCTTTGGGGCTCAAGGTGCAGCTGAACATTTTGGTGAAAGAGCGTGGCAGAGGGAAGGAAGCAGCTCACAAGGTGATATGAGAGAGATTCCACTTGCCAGATACAAATATATAACCCAAGCTGTGCCCCCCATAAACCACTTCCTCCAACCACATACCTCCTCTGCCTCCAGTTACTACTCAGTTAATCCCATCAGGGATTAATTCACTAATTAGGTTAAGGCTATAACCCAATAATTTCTTCTCCAAACCTTGCATTGTCTCACAGATGAGTTTTTGGGGGATACCACATCTAAACCATAACATTTTTGTAAAACAAATTTTAAAGAAATTTAACTCTATATCCTTCAGCAACTAATCCCTCTTTTCCTCCCCTGGAGTGTTAGTCAACTTTTTGTCTCTGTGACCAAAATAATCGATGAGAGCCTTAGAGAAGGAAAAGTTTGTTTTGACTCCTGGTTCCAGAGGTTTAGTCCCTGGTCAGTTGACTCCATAGCTCTGGGCCTGAGATAAGGTGGAAGGACATGGGGAGGAAAGCAATTAGCTCATGTTACCAGGAAACAGAGAGAGCATGAGCAGCCAGGGGCAAGATATATATTCCCCAAGGGCACACCCCCTGTGACTGCTTTCTCCAGCCATGCTTCACCTGGAGGAAATAATCCATCGGATTATCAATCCATCAAATGGGTCACTCCACTAATGAAGTCATAGTTCTCATGATCATTTCACCTCTAACATTCCTGCATTATTTAACATGAGATTTTTGGTGAACATCTTATATCCAAACTATAACCCTTGAAAATGTGGGCTGGGCAGCAGAAGGGTTGAGATGAAAAGAAGCTAAGTATCATATATCATTAGAGAAATGCAAATTAAAATAACATACCACCGTGCACTAATTGGAATGGCTCAACTACCAACCACTGACAACTCCAAATGTTGGTGAGGGTATGGAGTAACATGGGACTCTTGTTCATGGCTGGTGGGAAAGCAATTTGGAATATTTGGAAGACAGTTTGGTAGTTTTTTACAAAACTAATTTATTTTACCATAAAATCTAGCAGTAATTCTCCTTGGTATTTACCCAAGGGAGTTGAAAACTTATATTCACATGAAAACCTTAATTCATAATTGCCAAACTGAGGAACAACTAAGTTTTTCTTTAGTAGGTAAATGGATAAACTATGGCACATTTAGACCATGGAATGTTATTCAGAACCAAATAGAAATGAGCTATCAGGTCACACAAGGACATGCAGGAACCTTAAAGGCATATTACTAAGTGGAGGAACTCAATATAAAAAGGTTATATACTGTATGATTCCAACTATATGACATTTAGAAAAGGTAACACTGGAGACAGTGAGAAGATCGGTGGTTGCCAGGGGTTGGGGATAGAGGAGAGGAATGAATAGATGGGACAGGGGACTTTTTAGAATAGTGAGACTAGAAATAATGCATGATAGGCATTTCTAGATGCTGAGC